ATGGAACTTAATACCCTATGAAATTCGAAAGTCCAACACAATCTCGAGTTTTAAAAGATCACTTAAGACGTACTTGTTTACTAAATTCAGTGATAACGGATCATTGTTTTTATAAATTTGTATATATTGCGTTAGTTTTAATTTTTTCCCTTTTTTTTATCATTATGAATATGGTTTAATAGTTGTTTTAGTTTCAATTTTTCCTTTTTTATCCATTGTAAATATATTAGGATATGGTAGTAAATTTGTAAATATTTTTCAATAATGTTGTTTACATGATTGTAAAGCGCCTTGAACATAGGATAAGAGCGCTATAGAAATAAAGTTATTATTATTATTATTATTATATTACTTGGGGCTGCACTTTGCCATGTCAATGTGCAAATTGACTAAAGGCTAGACTCCAGTTGTTCAAAAATTTGATAGTCCTATCTGAGTCATGTGCACAGTAAAAGTTCCTATCTCATTTGGAGATAATAGATGTTTTAAGTCAAACACGCTTTGCTCGTCAGATGGGCCCTTTCGTGCTCTAATTGAGACATGACTTGGTAGCGGTGTGCTGATTATCGATCATAATCTATAAAGCATCAGAAACCTAAAGCAAAGTGAGTATTGCTTATGCAAATGTTCAGTTGATTGTTGTGGAAAATTCACAAAAACATTGTTGACAAATAAGGAAATTAATACACCTGTGTTGTCTTTTTGATGGGGTCTTAATTTAGTTTATACGATGTTTAGTTGGTTTAACTATGTGACAGATAAGCCTCTGCTTGCAGGGTAGGTTTTTTGTTTTGTTCACTTACAAAACTATTTTCAGTGTTGAAAGTGGCACACAGGGGCACAAAACTATAATCTACTATAATCGATTATCAGTTTAATAGTTGGGTTAATCTGATTATTTCTGACAATATGATTATAATACAGACACTATTACTAAGACTAACCAACACCTTAAAGTAGACTTTGAAAGTATGTAAGCCAGCACATCTAACAGCTGCAACCTCACACCGCAACACCTAAACAAGATAAAAGCCTTGCCTTGTCCCTGTGTGGCATTTTCCCAGGCCTTAATTCTTGGTCAATTCATTTTGGTGACTTATCTTAGGCAAACTGGAGGGAAACTGTTTCACTATTTCACTTGGGACCACGTGACCTAAAACTCATTGGCCATGACTAGGCAACTAAAGCTCACTATGCTAATGGGGACTCTGGCACAAAACACTTCAAAAGCCTTTGCATCTCGACATGAAAAATCCCATGATCGAGATGCTCCAGGCCCCTTCCGCTCTTGTTTATTCAGTGGATAGTGATATATGCACCCTTTGAAGTAGTTTATTTTTTTAAATCCAAGGTTTAGAACTGAATTATAGCTGCTTCACAATCATACCCAGCTGTTGTTGGAATACTACAGTAACAGCCACTTTTTCACCTGGTCCACAAACCCCCTTTTCAAGGATACAAGTGACAAGAACATCATGCAGTGACAAGAACAACATGCACACTTAGCCTACAGTAATTAGAAGCTCAATTGACAGGTTTTAGTTTGACAGAAAACATATTGATCTTGGGGTCACTGTCACCCCATGTCTGGAATCTGGGAAATTTTTCTCTTGGAATCTGGAATAAAGGTCCTAAAGTACTCTGGATCCCACTTATAACTGGAATCCGGAATCCATGTTCCACTGACAAAGAATCCAGAATGCGGTATCCATGGCGCAAAATTGAGAATCCAAGACTGTCAGATTTCCTTGAATGGGCTGATCACTGTTTTCAACTTGATAAAATAAAAAACATCATGTGCTTTCATTTATTTTGTTTTTGCAACTAGAAAGAAATCCCACAAGCTTCAATACATCAATATGTAAGTTTTTCATTTCTGAGAAAGGAAACAGTTTATTTTCCCAATGTCTCTGTATTTAGCTGTATTTTACTACCAATGAAATGAGCAAACAATAATAAATTATCATTATTGTGACACTAAAAACTGAATAAATGAAAAGTCAGGATTAAAAATATCAAATGATAGCGACACTATGTTTGGCTTCAATTTTTAGTTTTGTTTCGACATCTGCCTCTCTCGCTCCTCGTCCCCTTCAAAATCACAGTGGAAAAATTAAAAAGAAGGCCAGGTTAGGCCCATGAATGTTACGATCAAATGAAAAGAATGTTTCACTTGACAAAAACTGCTGAGACAAAGTGCAGATTATGCAAGATTTCCGTATAACTACATACATTAATGATATTAAGCATACAGCTTTTGTTCAAAGAAAACAAAAGGCAGAACAATACTACACCTTTGCAACGGGCAGCTAAATTTATTGATAAGCTGAAGCCTTGCAAGTATTCTTTCACAAATCGGGAATTAAAGAAACAAATCTTTAGTAATTTTCGGAACACACAAACCAAATAGCACGAGTAACAGAAATACCTTTACGCGTTATAATATTCCCAGCGATTACCAGATATCACTATATTCGAATCTTTGCCTTCCAACGGTACAGTCACAGTTTTCCGAACAATCAGACCTGAATTCTGTCCACCTTTTAGCTCTCAAACACTGAAGAAAGCACTTCTCAGCCTCTACGAAGCCCTCAAAGGTTAACCATCTTTGTTTTGGAAGGAATAAACCAATGAGAGCGCACGTATGAACGCGCTATGGAATGCACCAATCAGCGATCGTTTTAGTTCGCTGTGTGCCAGGGTCTTCTCTCCTGCCGCCGCCATATTGGAAAGCGAGAAGACCCTGGGGACGAGGTTGTTGTACGCCCAACACGCGTGTCGTCCAAAACGAGTTTCAGACAATATTAATATTATCAGTAAGTAGTTACTGATATTCTTATCCTATATTCTGAATTGTAAGACAAGGCTTTCCCTGAGTCACCAAGAATGGAACCTGAAAGCCTCAATCAATCAATCAATCTTTATTTCTACTCGAGTTGAAGATCGATGGCAATAAAATGCTAATATCTCCGAGGACAAATAGCTATATAACAAAAAATAATAAATATTATAAATATTGAAAAATAAAAATAAAATAAGAAATAAATATTAATGGTAGACGTAATGATTAAATTACAGAATATGAAAAAGTAATTGATCAACTCACTCTGATTCAGACTGAAAATTTGATAAGATTAACTACAAAATCCTCCGCAGTCAGTATCAAATTTGAAACTAGAAATGGCCAATTTAAATAATAGCTCTATCATTGTTAGGTAGGGAACTCCATAACTTGCTACCGTGATAAGAGAGAGAATGAAGCCCATAGCTGCTAGTGTATAATATTGGTGCCAAGTTTCAGTTATCCTAACCCGTTCTAACCATGAAAACCATTGATTGGGTGATTTGTCTCCATGTTGTAACCACTTATGACGATAAAGCGAGTAGAGACCTTTAAAAGACTAAAAGACTTACTTACTTCAAAAAGGCACCTTTTGAAAGGGATTGGTATAGCCCCCTGGGAGGGGTACTTTAGGAATTCTGGGTGGGGATGTGCCGCTGAGACCCTGGAACCCTTTAACCTATACCAGAGTTAGGTCAGCTGAATTTTGCTACCCTATACTAGAGTAAACTCCCCGAGTCCCCCCTATCCTAGAGCAGCTGTTTTCCAGAAACTACTGAGGTCACTAGCACAGTCTAGCCAACACAAAACCTTATACCACAATCCCTAGTCTATATAAAATTTTCAACCAACTCATCAGTTTCCTGAAAAATGATACCCTCTTCTAGACCCAAACGCTCTGATTTATATACCCTATCCCAGAGTAAACTGCTTGAAAACCATACCCTTCACAGCGGCACATACGTATATGGCCCACATATGGCAGTACCCCCCCCCCACACACACACACACACACACCCCGTATAGCCCAAGCGACTACCGGACATACGCTTCTGCAATGGTAGGTTAGGATTGTTAAGCTGCATTTTGTTAAGGGTATGTAAATGTCGATGATATGCTTATTTTAATAAGCAGTTATTCTTGCTTTATGATTCGCGCAACGTTGATATGATACAAGAGCTTAGGGTAAAATAATTATGAAAACAAACACAGGCCTTAAAGAATGAACAGCAAGAAACTTTCCTAACTTAACAAGAAATCCTTGCTTCAAAAACAAAGCAAGCAGGTCACATAAGAATTGATTCGACATCACATTTACTCAAACGGAAACAGTTTGACATGTTACACATAAACTTCATTAAATTCAAAATAATGCTAAGAGATTTTCTGAGATTCTCTTTGTTCTGTGTCTTTATTATGTTTTAAGCAAAAATACATGCTAAACCAACTAGGAAAACTTACTGTTAAAAGTGATTAAAAAGCTGAAAGAAAAGAAAAGCTTAAAATTTACAAAAAAGGTAGAAACAAAGAAAATGAACTTGACTGAAAATAAACAACGGTACAAGAACAGTCAAGTATGGCCATGGATTAATTACATTTCAGGACGAGTTCACCCTTTAATGTAGCAACTTTTAATTGACCGGTATTAGCCGAAAACCCGCCTTATATGGCGTTCGAGTGTGTTTTTTTTTTATCCTTATCTTGCGGAACGACCAATTCCTTTTTTGGAGACATGGAGATCTTTTTTCAGTGTCAATAGATGACCTGTTGCTTTGCTGGTAGTAAAAACTCCCGTCACCTTAACTATTCTATGCGTTTTATTTTCTCGACCAATCAATGCTTTGCATTTTATTAAAAGATCTACAAAGGACAGATGAAAGGAAACTGTCTGATCGATTTGCGATCCATTAACATGAACCTTTAAAATTTAGCCAAAGATCCTTATTCAGTTGCCAAGTATTTTCACCTCCAGTGGCTCTGATCTAATCTCTCAGCCAAGCTGAACACGGTCGCATCACCTTGATCTTATCAAGAAGCGCTCTGCTTTGCTTTGGTCTTCAATCAGTCTACACGACTTAAATACTACACCAAACCGCAAAGACTTTAGTCTGGGGTGATTGTTTTCTTTAAAAGGAGTCAAGGACAAACAACGCTCGTTATGACCTCTACATGGTCAACGGATATACGATGGTCGAAACTTCGCCAATTTGAGTATGGAGAACCGAACAATCACGCAGACGAGCTAAAGAAAGCTTTACACACAGCTAGCGATGATAGCGATGATGAATGGCTTGCACAACTCGAGAGGGATTATGCCACAGCGAAACGAAAGCACCGCGCTTACTGGACTTCTCTTGAAAAAGTTTTGACATTAGTCCTGATAATCTTCGTTGTGATCACTATTTCCTTAGCTTCTGTTCTAATATATAAACAATATGACATACCACTAATATTTGGAAGTAGCAGATATCGTAATAATATTTGCGAAAATCAAGGCTGTGTAGCTGCAGCGTACAATATTTTGAATCATGTGGATGAAAGAGTTGACCCATGTGAAGATTTTTATGGTTACTCTTGTGGAAATTGGGTTAGAAGAAGCTTTACTCCCCCGGGTAGTTCAAAATGGACAGCATTTCACCAAGTTTCAGACAACAACCTCATGATTTTAAAGAAAGTCTTTGAACAAACGCACCTAGGTGGAAATGAAACTGCTGCAATGTTCGCCAAAGTTAACGACTACTTCTCAGCTTGCATGAATAAAACCATAGTTGAAAGTCGAGGCTCCGAGCCCCTGAGAAATCTTATCCAATTTGTTGGTTCGTGGGCCATGAACGACAACGTGTCAGATGCGGGGGCTTGGTCTCCGGAGTCTTGGAATTTCGAGCAAGCGTTGAGTAAAATTCACAAACTGAAGAGTATGCCTCTGTTTTATATGTTTGTTTCTGCGGATGACCGTAATTCAAGCCAGAATATTATACAGGTAAAGTATGGTTAAACGGAAACGTTTCTTCATTTGCATGGTTGGTTTACACGCGCTGCCTTAGCCTGCCAAGCTTAGATTTGATAGGAATAAAAACACCGTTCCCGTAATTTGTATTTCCGCGATTTACATCATCTTCATTCTACGTTTCATTCTTTTCAGGGTTAAGATAACCTCAAAAAATTGGCCTGCACCCAATGTATAGGTCATCATAGCTCAGTTGGTGGAGCCAGCACCGCACCAGTGCAAAGGCTATGGGTTTGAGTCTCATTGAAACCCCGGATATTTTTTGCTGGTTTAATTTTCAATTGCTTAAATTGCTATTAATATTAACTGCGACGACCATATCTTAATTATAAGAATTCGTCTTGTTACCACTATAAGCCGACAAGGGTCCTATTGAAATAATCTGAACAACGTTGTTTTATCTCGTAGATTCAACAAGCAGGAATCACATTATCTGACCGAGATTATTACTACAGAAATGAATCGGACAAGGTAATCTAATATGTCACCATCGTTTTTGCTTTCTTCTCAAAACATGAATCCACTCTCCAAAAAATGTCCTCTTTTCAATTGCAACCAACCATCTTATCAATGTAGGTCCTGCAAGCGTACAAAGAATTTATGGTCAAAGTGGGCACACTCCTGGGTGGAGAACTGAATGCAACACGAGCCCAGATGGAGGAAGTGTTTCAATTTGAAAAGAAACTGGCCGAGATTTACGAACCAAAAGAGCGCCTTAGAAACATGGAGGAGATTTACCACAAGATAACTGTTGCCGATCTTCAACAACTAGCACCTGCGGTAAGAAAATGCGCATTGCAATGCTGATGATGAGATTCCGACGATCGCGCTGACTTTTTTTTTAGAGAAAAAAAATGTTAATTAGAAGATTCTTTTGATGGTTACGAACCACACTCCTTTCTAACTCTCAAAGGGTGGGTGTGCAACTCTGGAATCACCGTGAATGAATGAGAGAGAACGAGAGAGACGGAGAAGGGTGTACTGTGCATGTATCGGGCTTAGCAACTCTGAAATATGCAGAATTTCTTGGAAAGGAAAACTCTGGATATTAATCAGAGTTTCTGTTTTGAGTATAGTAGAAACAATGAAAGATCTTGTTAGGGAGAGGTCGTTGTGAAATTATAGCGCAATGTGCAAAGATAGGCCTTCGACTTGAGCTTCTTGTCTTGGAATCATTTACACAATCACAATTGCAATTGTTGCTCACATCTGACTTCATTTTACGTGACACTTGTCTTTTAGATTTCGTGGTTGGATTACATGAACACGATGTTTTTCAGTCCTGTAACACATGAAGAGTACGTGGTGGTTTACACTCCAGAATACCTAAAGAACATGTCAAACCTTGTCATTATGACGGATAGAAGGTAACACTGTCGCAAATTTAATGAGCAACTGAATGTAAAAAGGATATGGTAAAACAGGAGCCTCTCCGTGTCAGGTGCAAAATAATAATAATGAAAAAGATACCTAAGAGCAGTAAATGATGCAAGTCCAATGAAACGCAGTCAGGGATTCAAATTCTCCAAGCCCTCAGACTCATTTTCAGGCGCTCCTGGGACAAATTTGATGAGAATACTTTGCACAAAGGACTTCCGGACGATAAGCTTGCAGCTCTACTGCATCACTACTATCTAAAAAAACCTTTGAGCAAGGTGATCCACACGACACATGAATAAAACTTTCTGATTCGGTCTTGCCTCATCTCTAATGTAGAGATGCTTGAGCCAGACAAAACTGTGTGTTCAGTTTGTTTTACTATCTACGACCCTTTGGTCCTTCCCAACTTACCACCCAAATGAGAACGAGCCTATACCAAGTCCAAATTGGTTGAGAAAATTATTGCCAAAGGTGTTTGCATATGTTTTTCTCTTGATCTCTTGACATAAGAGAAGAAAAATTTGATGACTCATAATTTGAGGCAATAACAATGCTCGAGCATCAACGAACTAATGTTCAGAACAACAACTTCCATTGAAGCCAGTTGATCAGTTTGTTTAAATCTCGTAGAATACTCGCAAATTACATGGTGTGGCATTTAATTAAACCTCTGATCGGCGAGCTGTCCAAACCATTCCGTGACGCATCATTGGAACTGTTAAAAGTCGAGAAAGGCGTAGAAGGAGGTGCGCCGCCTTGGAAGACCTGTGTTACAAAAACTAACTCAGTCATGGGGTTTGCTACTGGATACTTGTTCATCAAGGAGCAATCTGGCAAAAACGCCAAGAAAGAGGTGATTTTGACGTCAAAATGTTTTTCTATTGCCCTTTTATTTGCTCACAATGCTTTTTTAAAATAAATAAGTGAGGCTCAACTTCCGTCTCGACTCTAATCTGTTCAAGTGAATAAGAACTATCAGTTTGTTGCAACTCTGAATAAGGTAAGAAAGCTCCCTTGCAAAGATGTACCCTGGTTTAAGAGGATCCATTCCAAGAGTCTCTTCTTAAGATGAGCTAAATAATGGCATCGCTCATGAACCCATGCAATTTAAATTAAAAACATCTGCGAACCTTCTTTCACCGGGGCCTGGTGACGACGACGATAAATATAATGGTGATCAAAAATGATGATAACAGACCTCCGTGATGATAATGATAATGATGATGATGATGATGATGATAATGATGATGATGATGATGATGAATGAATGATGGTTGTGGTGATGATGAAGAAAGTGGTTATGTGTAGTATTTAATTCTTTCACATTCTTTTCCCTACCAATTGTATTTTTGAGTAGGCGGAAGACATGATAGCAGGGATAAAGAGAGCGTTCATAACAAACCTCCCGCACGTAGAGTGGATGGACGAAGAAACCAGAGGCAACGCTTTAAAGAAGGTACAGGTTACAACCGACCTTGAGATCTTGATTATAGTAGAGGAGATGATTTGAGCTTGAGTTCTTATGCAATTAGAAGAATATAGATTCTTTTTTCACATATGATCTGAATAGAGTAATTCTTTTAAACGATCGAACTGAAAAGGCTAAGAAGAGGGTTCAGTTAAAGTATCATGTCCACCTCTGGAAGGTTTGTGATAACCACACCCAGTTTAGCAAACAACTAAAGCGTGCCGCGAGAGATCGCGCGAGCGAGTCGCGAAGCTGCCACCCTTGGGCTCCTGTCTCCTTTCACGCGCAGCTCTTGCGTTAATCGAGAGCTTGCTCGCAGGCTACCAAAAGACCCAAAAAGACAAACTAGGTCAAGAAGGACGTTCTTGTGATCTGCTAATTGAAAACACTAAGATCAGAGCTGACCAAAGGATAACGTTTTTGCGATTTCGTATTTCAGGTTATTGCCACTTTTGACATGATAGGTTATCCAAGGTGGATTGAAGATTTGGAAAAGCTTGACAAGTACTACGAAAATGTGAGTCTCTAAGCTCCATTGATTAGTTAAGGGGCATTCTGCACCAGTACCAGTCAGCGGTACTAAAACTGAGCATGCTTGCTCTCCGTTGTTCGTGGCTCGGCTGAAGTTGATTTGAGAAGGAAATGAGCTGAGAGACACCTTGTTTGATGGTAGACTATCTGGCATTTGTCTACGGCTGATTATTCCCTTCAAATTTTAACAACCCTCAAATCCAATATTTTCAATTTTCCATAATTTTAAAAAACACTGTTCGCCTCAATTTTTATCTATTACTAAAAACATTCGAAAATCATCCAAAAAATCTCACACATGTCATTGTATTGAACCAATTACTACGACCTGGAGCTATTTAAGTGAATGAAATCTTAGCTAGAGTTGGAAGAAAAAGGGTAGAAGTAAACGAAAAACTGTCAAGGAGTTTAACCAGAATTACCCCTAAAGCAATGTAGAGTGGGCTAAATTCTGCCTGAGAAAGTTTTATATTAGAACAGATGGTCCGTTTTCCTTTGATTCGAAAAATTACCTGGACGAAACAACACTAAGATTCTGAGGCTTGATAAGGGTACAGTATACGCATCAAATGACTTACGTTCTTTTGGCAGCTAACAATTGGTGCTGAAACTAGTTTTGAAAATTATCTGGAGGCAAGAAGGTTTTTTCATAACAAGTCTATGATTAGACGAGGAAAGCCTGTCGACAGACAAGAGTAAGTACTTAATAGAAACATATAGTAAATTTTTGCAGTATTGTAAGTTATTCTTCTCTTGCCTCCCAAGTATCCTTACTGATGTTTTTGCACTTTCTGCATCATCCACGTTAAACGAATGGAAAAGCGTCCTTCCTCATCCCTTTCAATAAAAGCATATTTAAGTGTCCCCGATTAATAGGCCTCCTTAGGCATGCTAGAAGATTTTGACACTTGAATGAAGTTTGTACGTATGTAGTATTTGGCATTTTTGAAACATTGTTTGTTACGTTGATCCCCATATTATGCCACAGTTATGTTCTCAATAATCATCATCGTGATCTTCAGCGGAATCATGCCTAATCATCATTATCAGATCTTTGCTATTATTAAATTTATCATTTTATCATCAGGTGGCACATGAGTCCTGCTGACGTCAATGCGTACTACAATTCTCCTAACAACTATATAGGTTTGTTACCTTTTAACCCTCTTACTCCTCCAGTCCTGGCTGCTATACATTTTAGTGTACATGAGTTTAGAGAAATTGGGGTTATATCAATCTGGCATCCTTTGACGGATAAATTTGCTAATTCGCATCACCTAGTCATCATTACTGGATCGATTAATGCGACGTCTTTATTGGTCAATTAGATCAAAAGTCGGGTCCACAAAAACATGTCACAAAGGAATCTGACAGGCTTCATAACCTGATTCTATGCTATCAACTATCCTCTAAATAACAGATAGTTTTAACTCAACTTAATCTCTCCCTAGCTGATGAGGTTCCTAATTCTTCTCGTTTCTTACACAGCGTTTCCGTCCGGTATTCTGCAGCGGCCATTTTTCGACCCTGACTTTCCCCAGTGAGTATGAAGTGTCATTACTTTTACACACTTTCTAACCAGAATGTGAGAGCGCCGATTAAGAACTTAGCCCCATTCACACTAAAGCTTAAACATGTTTGAAGGCTGTTTAGTTGAACACGGATAAAATTTTTGATTGCACACTTAGTGCAAATTAAAAAACATTTTGAATCCTGTTTGAAACCAGTATTCCAGTTTTCCGTGTTGGATTTTCATTTTTTAAAACCTGGTTTAATTTAATATGTTTAGCTGATGTCGATGGGGCATTACATGTAAATCCTCTTTCCAGGTCAGTGAATTACGGTGCTCTTGGTGTGGTAATGGGACATGAACTAACTCATGGATTTGACGATCGAGGTAAGGGACTGACTCACTGACTCGTAAATGTGTTATTTTTGCTGCTCGGCAACGCTTTTTCTATCTTTAAGACATTCCTTTATCGATTGGGTATTATTTAAGGGATAAAATATAAAAAAGTAATCACTATTTTGTACTAACTTCAGGTCGCCTGTTTGACGAGCATGGTAACCTGGCCAGCTGGTGGAACAACCAGTCCGTGGAGGCCTTTCAGCGACATGCTTCGTGTATGGTTAATCAATATGCCAACTTCAGTGTCGCAGGAACGAACGTAAGAGAGACTTTTGTGTTATTATTAATAACAGAGTCATTGTCGACTTCCGTTCCTTTCTTTCCTTTCTTCCTCTATTTTTCCTTTATTTATCTATTTATTTATTTTACTCTTCTTTACATTTGAGATATACTCCACTTGCAAGAAGTTTTAAATTATTTGTTAATTTATAAGTAAACTAGTACATTAGTTAAAATAGAGGAGGGATCCTGTTTCACCGTAAAAGGTAGCATTTAAGGAGCTTCAATAGACTAATAGATGATAAATGAAAGAAAATGATGAAATTTTCTTTTTTCGTTAACTATAAAATATAGACAGACTTAATTTCCAGTTTGGTCTCGTGGCAGGTTAATGGCAAGCAAACACTTGGCGAAAACATAGCGGACAATGGTGGACTAAAGCTTGCATACGCAGTAAGTTTGCTGTCGAACGAGACAAAGATCATTGTACCCTGCTAAAGCTAAGGGAAAACCATATCAGCGACGTGGCAGGGGCAGAGGAGTCGCTAAGGGGAGAAAAAGCGCACTCTTTCTTCTCGCAAACGTCTTTTCCTCCTCTATCCGTTTCATAAACTTACGTTGTCAAAAACTATGCGCTCGACAATTTTCAACACTTTTGATAAAGGCAGGCTGAAACATTCTCTATTTTCCAATTTAAAAACGAAAGGAAACTGGGGCAAGTTAACTTGCACCGTTACAATAGACAAGGAAAAAAATTAGTCAATAGCTGACCGGCCCGTCGATCCCAGAAACAATAGCGGGACGCATTTCGGCTCCAGTTGCCTTCTCGTTGCTCAAGTGGCGAATGCAACTACCTTGTTACTAGGGCCAGGATTCTCATGATGTAGCGTTGTTCGTATTCATGGGTTTCCACTGAAATAAGCTATAACCGGTGATTTAGTGACAAACTGCTTTTTACAACAGACCTCTCTAAGAAACCAGATTTTCGGTGTGGTCCTAAAAAACTGTGAGTGCTAAGAGCTTATCACCTGGTGTCTGATTTGATACCACAGGCATACCAAGACTGGGTGAGGAACAACAGCAAAGAATTGAAACTTCCAGGATTAGACTTCACGCCCGAACAGCTATTTTTCCTTGGCTTTGCACAGGTATGGGTCATACATCTTTTGCGCAATTCAAGACGCGGTGTTTTTCTTTAAGGAGCAAAGTTATGACACCAAGCTGAGTTCCAAAGGGTTACCATGTTAGTAAGACGCATATGTTTCTCCGTCTGTGGTTAAAAATAGCGTTGCATAAAAAATGAGTTCGCGCTTTTCCAATCTCAATTTGTCAGTTGGTTGCGAATATTTCTGAAGTTGAATTCTAAAGGACTCATCCACCTCAGAAAAACAAAATCATGAATTAAGAAGTTTCAAGTCGCAGTCGTGAAAGAACAGCAACGAAATGTACCAAAAAGTGTGACGCAGGTGCAAAGTTGTTGTTTTGCTGAAATAAACTCATTGCTTTTAGCCGTTTTCGTTACCGCCGCCGCCCGGTCGGATCTTATGGTTCCTTAAGGTGGGAAAGAATACATTTACAATGATAACGTTATAGATTGTCATCTTGAACTAAGAATCTCATAAGGAAGTTGCATGCACTGCAAACATTTTGTGGTAGTGATTATTTTGTGGTGAACGAGTCAAAGAAGGAGGGTATCTTTTAGCCTTAACCACCCCTCCCATTGTTCGTCCTTTCACTCCCTCCTATATATTCCTCTGATTTCAATAACAAAGATGACCACCACACACTGGGACTACAGAGCGCTCTCTCACTTGAGAAGAAAAACGCGTCCACTGCAGGCTAATTAGAGTAAACAAAACATACATATGTTCAGCCCTGTGCACACTAATGCGTTTTCAAAAGTATGAGTTTTCGTTGTTATCGAAAAAGCATCGATCGGTTTGCGTCCACACTACCGTTTTGGTGCGTTTTCCACTGTCTACACTAAACCGATAGAATTGCACGCTGTGACGTAAGCTGAACTCTATGCGCATGCTACAAAAAAACGCACCTGCATTATTTTTGGTAATCGTTTTCATTTTGATGCGTTTTCGACCGTCCACACTAATATAACATGTATGCGTTTTCGTTTTGATCCACTTGCAACAGCGTTTTCAAATCGGGTATGAAAACACTCAGCGTATTAGTGTGGGAGGAAGGCCTAAACGCACCTAAATGTATGCGCTTTTAAACGAAAACGCATTAGTGTGGACATGGCCTCAGACAGAGTGAATACGACTTATATTGAGCTCGGTTCAGCAAATTACATTTAAGATCACAACCATTCTTGAAAACCTGATTTAAAACGCTATGTTTTTTTTCCTGCAGGTTTGGTGCTCGGCGACTTCCGAAGGACGAGCTCAGCATGCTCTGTTAACTGATGTACACAGTCCTGAGAAAGTAAGGTAAGTTGACGCGGCTGATTTTTTTTGTTTTGTCTGGGTCCTGTTCCCTCATTCCTATGAGCAAAGACACCAGCTCGAGGCTTGGGGTGATTAGAATGAAATGCTCCACCCAAGCATCGACCTCTTTGCAGCGACGTTTTTGAGCGACTCGCGTCAAAGGGAGGTGAGCTTTTCTCTCTTTTAACATGCCTTGACGCTACCAAATTTGTATTCAGTTGTCAAGTGTCTTTACTCTTATAGTTTATTCGAGAATCGATCACTTGCATAAAAGCTTTTTTTCTCTACTCGGCAGTATCTTCTTGGATGTTTTTTTTGTTTGTTTGCAGTGATGGAGAATGGAGGTTTTTTTTAAATTTTTGCTGGCTGACGGTGATATTTTAACCGCAAATAACACACCGAATAACCTGGCGTGAGTGTAGCAATATACTAGATATCCGCAGCCACATTCGTCCCTGGGGGTTCTCCCATTTATCGTCCTGTTTTCTAAGGGAAAAGCCCTAGGATGAGGTTGATCCGGAGCGTTTTGAAATTGTTTCTCAGTTTAGCTTTCTGCAAGCACTTAATAATTCAATAAAACCCATACAGTTACATTAAGAAAGTGCTTAACTTTCAGATTTTGGTAAAAGTACTTTTTACTGAATGGAAAATTCCACAGGTAAAATTACTCCAAATAAACGTCACATAAAACAACTATAATTACCAAATAAATCCTGCAAATATAAAGCAACTAGATCAATATCAGAGGGCATGGGTGGTACGACAGTCAAGCTATCCTTCTTCAAGTTGTATCCTAACATGAAGGACGGCTTGAGTTGAGTCCAGAAATCAGAGGTCGGGGGAAACATTCTTCTCGACTCGCTTGCTTCTTCGCTGGGTTGATCATTTTAAATCATTCTCGTTACTACAAGGCAGCAGGGTTTGGATACGGTCGTGTTAATATAAAAATTGCACAGTGACATTAAAATCTATCTTAGAACGCAAAAAAATAGAGAATGCGGAAATGCGTGTTGAATGTAGCTAATCCGGTCTAGTTTATAGACTTCTTGTTTTTCTTTTTCCTTTTGTAGGGTTCTCGCAGCAGTTGCAAATTCAGAGGAATTTTCCGAAGCCTTTCAGTGTCCTCTGAATAGTCTAATGAATCCCGTCAAGAAATGTAAAGTTTGGTGACGGGAACAGGATTGATTTTAATCATTTTAATGCAAATGCGCGACATTCTTTTGTTATATATACCTTTTTGGTTAGTTACCTTAACTTTAAGATAAAAATATTATTGTAAGCGACAAAGCATCGGCAACCGTACCTGTTTTATATATATTATACTTGCCATTTAGCTGTAACTCTGTCGATCGGGGTTTGGGCGGAGTATCCAAAGCTTGGATCTTGAAGAGGGTTTTCGGAGAGGTGGAAAAACAAAGGAACGAATTGAAAGGAAAGAAAGAGAGGACCATGCCGGCGCTTCGTTTTGTTGTCATCCCCCTTCCAATGCTTCTGTGGCGAGATTACTCAGTCCTAGCTTGCGTAGCTGGCGGTATTGTGTGGGTGCGAGATTAAAGTTTTGGCGGCGGAGCCGTGTTCCAAAAAAAAGGAGTAGGCACGAGTCGTGGCAGTCAAATCTCACTCGACTATATTACGACGGCTCCGCCGCCAAATCTCACTCCACTACTACACAATACCGCCAGCTATGCAGGCTACTCAGTCCAAAAATGCTACCGAAAAGAGCTCTAAGCGGTGTGATATCTACGTGCTAGCGTCTGGCTCAACTAGAAAAGGTCGTTATGGTATCGATCAAAAGAAGCAAGGCTGATTTTACAGTCGGGAAATCAATATAACTCAATGATTATTTATCAACTACTTCGTTCTCCCACTTACGTACACTTGTTTAAATGCCTTATATAGTGTGAAATAAAGTAAGATTGATCGATCAATCGATTGAATTTTTTGTTACCAATACTTCGGAAGGCACGGCCTGCCTTGTTCAGGGTCTTAACATTCTGGTTGACGCTGCACTACTATCCAGTTTATTTACCAAGGTAAACGAAAAAGAGCTTGATTTCAGTTTATCCCATCAGAAACAATGGTATAGCCGCAAATAGGGTTTCAAGAACGCAAGAAAAAGTTATTGAATCAAATCAAAAATATTCTTGCTCCCCGAAATGTCAAATTTCTTACCTAAACAAGTGTCAGAAATAGCGTTTTGTTGTTTAGTTAGGCGCTTAGAATTCTAACAAAAACAGAACATGAAACAGGTAGCCAATTCGCCGCATTACAAACAGCGAGGAAACTGGGCCCAGTTAATTTTCGCAAAGACTTCTGGGACTGTTTCCAGGGACACGGGGAAGAAATGGCCTATAGCTGACCAGCGCGCCCTCAGTAAAAATCCCACAAACAATTGCGGGACGCCTTTCGGCTCCAGCTCCCTTCTCGTTCCTAAGTGGCGAATGCTCACCTGCAGCTAAAGGGGGGAATTTCATATATCCCATGATGCATCGCTTTATACTATATTATCAAGCTTCCGAACGCACGTGATGCTATCAGTTCAACAGGGACGTGACAGTTGAACAGCAGTGCAGAGCGACTTGTTTTGCCGATAAGACTTTCTCTACCTTTGCTGTGTCGATCTATTTACGATTTTCGTTTTACTATTCCAAATATATCTCTTGTTAAGTCAAAGAGAGTGTTTTGCCCGCCGATTATGAGTTAACTAGACTTACGATAGCAACGCAGTCCACACAAACGTTCTTAGAAGCTAGCGAGGAAGGTCTTTGCTTCAGTACGTCCTGTTTTAACGTGCGTTGACAAAGCTCTCCATGAATTAACAGGCGATTTCCACGACTTGTCTTGAAATAAATACATATTCTAGGTGTGAGATTTCTTCTTTTGTGATCGGGGTGTTCATATTGTCAGTTCAATAATTCATCGATGCAGTACATCAACCGTACAGTGACTGCACACGCTTTTACTTCAACAAGCTCGGCTTATGTAGTCGAAAATACCGAGACCGTTAAAGTACAAAGTGACGTCTATCGGAGATAAAATTCAAAGGAGGGAAATAGCTCCAACAAACAATAAAAATAACAAAGACATCTCCATATTTTTCGTAACACAACACGAGCTAAGCATCATTGTCAAACATAAACAGAAAAAAGCTTTATTAAGAAATGGCACAATACATATACAAAAACACCCACTTCTTCACTACAATGGATCCTAAAAGAATTATCAAAATGTCTTAAAAGGTTTTATACGCCGGTTGAGGTCCTACGGCGTGCTATTCCATGACATTTGCTGCCCTGTATATTTCAAGTTCCCCACGCGCGGTTGCGACCGGAAGCCACCACGAGAAACCAATTTACCTAAAATAATGAGACAAAAAAGCTTCAATAACTATAAACCATTGAATTTAAACATTCATCATACCCTCAAGAGATAATATTTGTGTTTTGATCAACAAAAAAAGGGCGAATTCAAGAGAAAATGTCCCATCTTCGCGGGACTTAGCATAAAGAAATTGAAACCTTCGTCTTGCATCTTAGTGGAGAACGGGCAGAAAATGCGATATTTCAAAACGATCAAACCCATAAAAATCGCGAGGTCGAAAGAGGTCGGAGCGTGGAACTAGTATCAAGCACCCCTTGTCCGCAGATTTAAATAATTTATTAGGGCAAAACCTTGCTAGAATAAAGACAGTTTTCGATAACTGAAAGTCATCTAAATAAATATTCACTTGCGAGTTAAAACAGCATGGCTTAACGGGGTCGTAAACGAGAGCAATAATGCGTGAAATGACCATGGGACCATTTTACATTATTAATAAGATACCAAAGATTAACAGGGCTCATTAAAACTTACCTTGGATGAGCTGCATCTTGAAATTCAGGTCGTTGAAAATCTCCCTCGAAACCCTCGAACGCTCTTTCAACCGCGGAGAGAAGAGACAAATTTGCCGCGAAGCATCATGGGATATATGAAATTCCCCCCTTTCCTGCAGCTGATCTTTAATGAGCTGCAAAAGATACAATTCAGCCTTCCCGTCCTGTACTGTAGTAATCGTAGGGTAACTATCGACTCGGACGGGGTGTATTGCCTGGTACCCGCCCTCCGATTTGGTACCAAGAGACCCAAAATAGCCAATAAAATCGCGCGAAAACTAATCAGTGGATTATAAGGTCATATAGTTGAAGCAGAAGCAATGATGTAACCCTGGCTTCAGGGTAAAATGCTTCTGGTAGAGGCTATTGTGAAAAAGGTTTCACCATGTGGTCTCAATAAGCAGACCGTCAAAGCTTTGTTTGATTCTGAAAGAGCCAATCGAAACAGCTGCACAAGGTAGTGAAATATAGTGACTACCGTTTGCCAAAATTCTCTGCTAAATAAAAAAAATACAAGTTTTACTTTAATTATTCCATATTAAACTCCTCAGAACCTCTTCAAAAGTAATTTTGCCATCCTTTTCCAGCTTTATGCTACCTTGTAAGCAAATACTGGCGTATTGCATTTCTAACACCCCCGTAAAAAGGTAGCGAGTGGTTGTATCTCGGCATAATTCTCCACCACATACCAAAAAAGTGACTTAAAAATTTTTTTGACTTTTTTGTTTTGTTTTTATGGCTGCACAACCGCCCCGGAAAATCTCAGCAAATGTGGAGTTTTATTTAGCTTTTCGAAAATCACGAAAAAGAATGATTTACATTAAGATAACACTATGTCTGTGTGAATCTATTTCCTTAATTGATTTTTGTCTTGTACGGTATTATTTTATCAACTATGATTTCAAATCTGTTATATTATTGGAAAACACCTTATGATTCTCATATGCGATGTAAATAAAAGTTTCATAAAATTATACACTTATGATGTTTCTTGTCTAATTTAGTTGGTTTGCCTTGTAAGTTGTGTGTTTATTTTCTGCTACGATAATGATAATATTTACAATCCTTTTCAAGGGGATTTTCACAGATTTTTCATTAAAATAATTGAGAAAGTGAAAAACTCATTTAAATAAAGCCACGGAGTGATGAAATGGGCACCTCGGGCAAATCGTATACTGACCGCGCAAGTGGAAATTGCTGATAAGAGTTTTCTTCTTGTATGTTAAGGCTGGCAATATTTGCGTGTCAGGTGAGTTTTAAGTTTTTCCGCTACTTTCTTCTTCTGGAGCTGTTGATATCCACTGACTGCTTATAAGTATTGAACGGAGAATTTGATCTTATGCTAATAGCTTAAACTTGATAGTGCAATAATCGGCACTACAAAGAAAACTCTTGACAGCAGACTAATCAGCAGTGTGCCGAGAATTTAATATTGACTGCCGTGTTTTTTGTGCATTACAATAAATAAAGATCAGTTAATAGCAATCTCTGATTTTTAAATTCTTTTGTCAATTTGTTCAAATTCTTTATAACTCAGAAACCACATAGATCTTGTCTTAGCTACGCCAATAGTCATTATAGAAGGGTGTTATTCAATATGCAAATTTTTCCTGAAACTTTTAAAAACACACCCACTAAAAGTTGAATTCACTTATCAATTTTAATTTGACGGCTTTAATTTGCTGTTAGTTCGGAACTTTTCAAGAGTCCGCAAATGTATACACAGATCATGTGCCAATGTGTTTTCTAAAGAATTATAATTCGCTATTTGCAAGCTGCCACCATCAGATTCTGACACAGATTCGAGTTTGATCGCGTTACCTCTGTTTGTCTTTGAATCTCGTCTTTACACAGAAATGGCTTTTGCGTGTAAATTTATGCCCGTGGTAAGTTTAAACATTTTAAATCACTCATTTTAATGCAAGGCATTTTGAAATATTCTAACGTCAGAAAAAAATCTTTCATAGCTTTAATTTATATACCGGGGAATAAATATGCATTTTACCTGAATAGTACTTTTAACCCTGCGTCTTTATTATGGCACAAAATATTTTATTTAACGGTGGAGAAAATATATTTTGGGAAGGATTATCGAATACATGGAAAAATTTTCTAACTTATGCTTCAAAGTTAATGTTAGAAGTTTTAAGTAGTCGAAGGTCTCCGTCGAAGACAAGGTCGTTCGATTCAGCTTTATTCAAATGATATTTATACTGTTAAAGCAAAATCGACCTATTTTCAAATCGCCTCTTGAAGGACATGTTTCTTGATTTAATATCACAAAAAAGCGAACCGCTTAAGTAACCTACGGCTATAGAATTGAAATGATGTTTTTTTTTGTGTGTGTGATAATTCAGGGTTGAAAGCCGCTTAGTGAATTTTTCTTTCTAAAAGAAATGTAAGAGATTTAAGGTGGTTAAAGCGCTTACCAATATGTCAAGAAACTTTTTTCGCTAATTGGACAGATGGGATTTCTCTTTTGCAGAAAATATAGTTAGAGCCTGTATTCTTACGTATGACAGGTGCTTTAGGGACACTTAGATGGTTTAACATGACACCAATTATTGATAAGCAAAATAGCAAGTTTTTATATCATGGCAATTTGTTTGTGTGAGAGGTCAGAAAATGTGAAAGAGAGCTTAGCGTCTTGTCGTTCATAGAAATTATACGAATAAGTAAGAAGTGTCCAGTTACCTGTTACCAGCTGTAGCAAGAGTCATTATCGAAACCTCGCGTTCTAAAAGAGTTCTTTTACCTCTTAAATTTTTAACGAGAGAAAAGTTTTACTGACTAATTATGAACCAAGAGACCTAAGCGTGCTTTTTCAGGCTTTAACCATATTAGAGTATGTTGTTTTTAAGATCCCTTTTTTTTTGTTTGGTTATTTCGTATGGTCAGGATAGTTTGCCTGTTTTCTTTTATTTCGGTGTTCGGCGCAAGTCGATTCCTGTGGAGGCACTTATCGGAAGAATGAGTAGGGGTGTGTCACTGAGGCCTTCAAAACCCTGCCCTTGTTTGAGTTAAAAAAATATTCATTTCGATAACCTTTTTAAGACAACACACCATTTTCGATGGCCCATATTTATTTCATTTCGCATACAAAATTAATAATGTTTTTAATACGATGCAAGGCAATTAGGTCTTTAAAAATTGTTGGTATCCCACAAGGAGACCGCAAACCGCCGACGTTCACCCTCTTTTAAGGCTCAGTTCCGGAAAGACACCCAGTTCAAGACGCTAATTAGTGGATTATGTATCCTATGCAGTGGTATTTGCATACAGGGGACCCACTTGGGACTAGGACAAGTGTCCCCTGAATAGAAGTGTGTCATGAATGGAGATTGGGCTGGGGTTTGTTAATAATTAACCAAGAAACAAAATATTTTTCTTATACTTTGAATTGCCTAAGAATCTGCTGCAGTCTTTATTTCAAGCAGCTACGTAGATAATGTACGTATACAAATTCACGATTAACTTATCTCTGCGATGTTGGGTGTTAAATTCTTACAAGTGAAGTGCATCGATTTCAGTGAGATGTTTTGAAAGCTTCCATTGTGACTAGTGAATATTTAAACTTATCAAAGATTTTTGTGGTCAGTCCCTTTTTGATTGGTTTGATGTCCCCGGAATGGGGTTAAAGCCCAGGTTTGGGGCCCAGAAAAAGTGTTCCTTTCCACTGAATAGAGGTGTCCCTTCAATAGAGGTAACAAATACAATGATAATGTAAACATTTTTCAAGGACCAAAATATTGTGTCCCTTGAATGGACGTGTCACTTAAATAGAGGTGTCACAAGAAGAGGTTCCACTGTATTACACTCAAGCCCTCCCCCCCCCAAAACCAAACCCTATTCACCTATTCAGCGACACATTCCTCTGGAGGCCAAATAAGGGGGTTTTTCCCCCAGGATCTAGGACTTGGGACAGCACTGATGTCAATGCCTTGCATCTTTATGTTGCAGCAATGTTTTGGTCCAAGTCGCCAAGCGACCAGAAGTAAATATGAATCCTCGCAATGTTCGGTCAGCGGAGAGGGTTTAAACATGGCAGTGGCTGGTAAACCTGCAAAGTTTACTCTACGAACCACAGGTCCAGATCTCCTCTTCTTAGAGCTCCAAATCACTCGAATTCTTAAAGGTAAAGAAAATCGCGCTAGTCTCACCGAGCCAATTCCTGTAGAATACGAATGTTTGGGGCAGAATCTTCACAGTGTATGTTACTATCCTAAGGACGAAGGTGAATATCACGTGGCTGTCACGTGGAAGGGGAGTCATGTGGCAGGGAGTCCATTTGTTGTTAAAGTTGTTAAAAGCGAACTTGGAGAGGCGGTAAGCAAGGATGATGTATGGAAATTAAGAGAGGATATCAAGTCATCAAGACGTCGTAGAAATGATAAAGTTTAATCGCACGTGCTTTTTCAATGGTACGGATACACAGTGGATTACAAGAAAAGTTGAAAATTAGCTGAGGTGAATGAAAGACGATTCTAAGACAAAAAAAAAAACTTCGTTACCAAGTAATAGAAATTTAGCGAGTGAGTGCCTTTCATATGCATGAAAGTATGAATGGAGTCTGACTTTAATGACTTGATGTAAATTAATCAATGAGTGAAAGATAAATAGATGAACAGACAAATAAATAATTGTAAAAGTGAATGAGTGTGTGAGTAAATGAGTAAAAGTTAAAAAAATTAAAGAAATGAGTGAATGTATCACAGGAATGAATCGAAAACCTAAAACAAAAATTGAACACATCAAGGGAGTTTATTTCAGTTAGTCTGGATTAATTAGCGTCCCCTTCTATTAAGCTCCCCTTTTGAATTAGCTCTTTTGCTAAAAGGGTCAAATACGTCTCCTTATCCTTCTTTATACTGAATATACAGCATACAGTAAGGTTATCTCCAGGGAATAAGACATGGCATGTACAATCACTAAAGAATGATCCATTTGAGGGTAATTCTCACGGTCGGAGAAACGGCTCCTCTCATAACGGTAACAGAGGATAGCGACAGAGCTTGGCTATGTCAGAGGACGTTCAAAGCTAAGAACATGCACCACACACACACAATGCTGAGAATTACGCAGTCAGTTTCGCGTTTAATGTTGTAGTTTTCTTTCATTTGAAATAGGGTTTAAGGCTGAAATTCTGAAGAATGAAATAAGTTCCCTTCTTCCAATGGGCGCCCCCTTCTAATAAGCGTTTCCCCCTCTTTCAACTCCAAAAATGAAACAAAAGCCCCGCCGAGTATTCGGGGAACTTAGACAGCTGTCCAGAGTGAACGTGTGCTGAAACAGAATAGATTTTTTGTGAATTTAAAAGAGTTGAAAAGAGGAGTTGAGTATGGTGTGATGGTGTTATCATGTTCCGCCCAGGAAATATATAAGGAAAATATCAGTAGAAGAGTTGTCAGCCAATAAGAACCATCCGATAGCTAGGACGAACCAATTAAGAACGAGTTGGACCGGTTGAAAATCTAATATTCAACAAGTCTTGCAAAACAATGTAGGGAAGGATATGGTCAAACTACAGTAACAACACCTTTAGAGCACTTGTTGCATGATTTACTTGCAATGCAAATAGCTATGTTACTGTAAGAAGTACAACTGACTATTACACAATTTTTTTAAAAAATAGAACTGATTGGGCATGTTTGCGTATTGAAATTTTTTTTCGTGTTTTGAGAAAGCACTGACGACTATTTGTAATTGGGCTTGGATTCAAAACACTATCCTTAGATTTTAGCTAAAGAAAAAAATGCTTATAACCAGAAGCCATTAAGTAACTTAAAGAGTCATCTCTTTTGTACGTAGCCAAGAAGAGAAGTCTGGCCGCTGCCTCAAGAATAAAAAGCATTAGACAGAGAGAGCGCTACCTAATAATCAAACAATAAAACCAGGGAACAAACGTAAGATGAATTAAATCGCGAATTAAAAGTGTATGTCACTGACGGAACAATCAAATATGCAACAAAACAGAGCGCATGCTCAGTAGTCGCTAAAGAAAGAATCAAACAACAAAGTAAAACCAAACCCGCAAAATAGAAAGCACTGACTACTATTTTCATTGCCAAAGCAATAAAACTACATTGAAACCATGAAACAGCAGAAGCGCTAAATGGCAACTAACCAAATCGAGCTAATCAATAATGTATGAACTGTGTGCCCCCCCCCGGCACATTTCCACTTCTAAACATCATCTAGAAGTTTGCTTTCTCAGGGACCGCGCAGCAAGTTTTCGAGTGGGGGGGCTAAAGAAGAATGCGTGAAGGGAAATGTTTTTTTTTGCGGGGGGGGGGGGGCATGCTTGTGGTTTCTATTCAATTTCTCTAAAGCGACGGAGAATGCGAATAACGATAAAACTATTGATTTTTTTCCACATCTTCAGTGATGTTGCTATCGGGTCTGAAAATTCACCATCACTAAATTGAAATATCATAGATTGTTATGTTATACTACTGATATCAACCTTTAATTACTATAAACAAGCCAGAAATCCAACGATTTTGCTTGAGCTACCTTGAACTCAAGGCTGTATAATTACTGAGCAATTATTGCACGAGGCTGAGTATGATATGAAGAGTTATGCAGATCGAGGGGGTTATCCGCCAAAGCCGAAGGCTTGAGCCCGGTGGACAACACCCTCCGAGATCTGTATATCTTCATATCATACGACAGCCGAGTTCAATAATTGTTTAATTATTCATTGAAAATATTTACACGGCAAAACAAAACGGTAACTGAAAATAATTTAGTGAATGAAAATTCAATTATAGAACAGATTCAGAAAAAAGTAGCAAAAATTGTGCAGAGGTTACTCAACAGATAAAGAAGGTTTTCCATTTTGTTTGGAAAAGTAATGAGAAATTAGAAGAGATCTCTTCTTTGCATTACTAGTGGTATGTGAAGTCTCGTCGTTCGTATTTATGTTGCCGTGCACCATGTGCACTTCTTTGTTCGTAATAACCGCCGGATTGAATGTTCCTTGATGACCAGAGCTATACACAATTCTGCGGTTTAAGTACTTTCGATGACAAAATGTTTTTATAAACAGACCGCGTTCAACAAAACGTGCAATTGGAATGCTCAACGAGCCGTGAAGCCTGACATCAAAAGACGGACTTCGTGCTGATCGAGCTAAAATCAGGACGCACAATAACAAGAGAAACAATAACTTCACGATCTTCCAAAAATCAAGGTTGAAACTAATAAACAATTTGTTTGGGAATCGCCTTATAAACTAAACCCAGTTATTACTTTGGATCGAAATTGACCAATTACGAAACAACGCGTTTTCCTGAGAGGTCCGCAGGAAAAAGAAGCCATTTAAAAGACGTTTACCTCTGCTAGGTTAGAAGCGAAAAAATATTTTACAATTGTAACGACTAATGCTTCATTCTGTCTATTTATCTGCGCGTTTGTCTTTGCCAGTAACTCTGGTCACTTTCGAATTAACGATTTTTTGCTATTTTTCACTCCGTTACTTTTGTTAAATTATTTTTTGTTTAATTTATTTTTATTCTTGCAAAAAAGTGGGGGGGGCTAAAGCCCCCCCAGCCCCTCCCTCTGCGCGGTCCCTGTTTCTTAAGACGTCAGGCAAGTAATTTTAAGAAATTTGCTAGAAAGTTAAGCAAGCATATCCAGGTCAAACTGAAAATAAATGATTGCTTGATTTTTCTTCTAAAAGAGTGGATTTTACTTTTTATAATCATTGCTTTATGCAATCATGCATACACCAGACAGAAAAATGGGTATATACTACAAGAACAGAAGAATGGTCGCGATAAATCTTCAGGTGTTTTCCTTTGCCTTTTTAAGGATGTTTTTGGATTCAAAACGACCACAATTTGGCTTTTTCACCTTTTTGTTCAAACTCTAGACCTAACACCGCTCTGTCTCATTATGACCTACGGCTGTGCTTTTCAAATATTTTTGAGCTCACAACATCACAAAAACTACTAGGAGCTGCTAATAACAAAATTGTTTGCTGAACCTAGAAATTTATTAAATAGGCCAAAAAGATCAAACTGTCTAAATAAAGTTTTCTGATAAGTCAGTTAGATGAAATATGATATTTTCTTATCCACAACAGCTCAAGGACAATTTCAATGTTCTTGAGATGAGGTCCGCCGGAATATTTTGAAGTTTTTGCAACTCCGCCTCCCGCAAAAAGTTCCTTGCTTGGACGCTTTCATTTGCAACAAACTAAGAATGTGCGAGATAAGTACTTTACTACCATGCAACAATCGAGCAACTAGACAGCGCGACAGTCGGTTATATACCACAAAACAGATCGAGTTACTCAGAAACGCACCACAAAGTAAAAAAACACTTTTCACTAGAGTAGTAAACAAACTATAACACAAAGCGCCTTCATCAATATCGTGATAATGAGTCCACAAAACGTGGAGTGCGTATGTCTGTCAGAACTCACAATAACACAAGGAACATCTGTTACAGACTGAATCTTCTATCGTGTTTTTGCAATTAAGGATATTGGTACACTAATCGCAATGGCAAAGCCATGGTAAATTCCTAATTCACTCGCTACGTGACAAGATAAAAAAAATGCATTCTCGTGCGTATTTGAAACAAAGACGCTTCTTCACTGAACAGTAATAGTCACCCATGCATATTCACTATAATCGCTTCCAAAGGCGCGAATTGTAGGTCGCCGTGCGTTTCTGGCATCGTTAAAAAATAAACAATCTGAATAAGAAGGATCGTAAAATAAAACCACCTACTACTTAGTGATGCAAAGTTAGAAATAACGTTTGTGCGTCTAGTTCTTTTGGCTACATGAAATCCCACTGGATTATCCAGCACAGAGTTATAATACTTAATCATATGATTCGTCTCACTGGATGTAAGTATTTCCGAATCAAGGACAATATCAGCGAATTCTCTTTCCGCCATCGCGGGAAAGCGAATCCCCTTAACAATCCGTTCTCCTAGGGCTCTTCGTTTTAAGAAGCCTTGACAAACGAGGCCTTGCATTTCACATTCTTTTTTAGCCCAGCAATCAACAGCCTTGAATAATTCAACTTCTTTGATATTTAGCGAATTTTTCTCCACTAATTCCTCCAAAACTGTTCTCTCAACTGTGACGAACCCCTCTGATTTTACAGCTTCTAATGTTTGTGTCTCGATCAATTTCCAACAGTGATTCACTAAATCTTTTTCTTCGTATTTCTGTGCATCCTGCAAAACGTAAAACACGTTTAATGCGTTCAGGTTCTCTTGAAGGAAAGCAGAGCACTTTTCGGCCAAAGTAGTCACCATGTATTTCTTTGATAAATACAACAACTGCATGACATTATCAACGTTCAACTTCACTTCGTCGCTGTAGATAAAGCGAAACAACTCCAGCAGGCTTTCATACTCGCAGTCAGATATCTCCACTGAATCTTTTGTCGTCTCCGCCATTTCCCCGAAAAACATGGCAAAAAACACTGGGCTACTGATCGCCAAAACAAACTTGTGAGCTGGAATCCTCTTGCTTCCGCCTTGGGAGTCACGGACAACGAATTTCACATCGCTCAGGAGTTCTTGATTGAAAATAAACTCACATCTTTCTCTTATGGTACCTTTGACTGTTTGCCAGTAAGTGTCCGAAACTGTGTCGACAGCCATGACTCAATGATAGGACGTAACGGTAAACTTTTTTTAAGGGTTAACTGACAGCATATTCACAACATTCACGACATTGTTCCTTCCCTTGAGGCATGCATGGAGGGGTCTTGTTACCCAGAATCCTAGGTCAGCTCTATGCTTGGTTTGTATACAAGGAGTTAATTTGTGAAATTTTTCTCATCAAAGCTACCATACCTACAGTAGTTAATCACATTGTTTTCTGAGGAAGTTTCAATGCAAAATTTGATTCGACAATTTACACTCTTCACCTGTCGTGATTTGCTGGAAATATTAATCATGGGTTCTCTGGGGATTATAGTTATCTTGTGTCGCTTATCTTGTGATCAGTTTTAAAAGCTAACAATAATGATGATGATGATGATAATAATAATAATAATAATAATAATAATAATAATAATAATAATAATAATAATAATAGCAATAATAATAATAATAATAATGAATTATTTACAATCAATATCTCTTAAAATGGTAAAAATATATACAACTCGTAACAAATGGATAAGTTAACTGCCTGGATTAGGTATAAGGGCGCTTTCCATTTGTTAGAACTGGCCTACCAGTCCAGTTCAATTGCAAAGAGAATTCCACTATTTGTCAGGGTTATCCAGCCAGATCAGTCTGTTTATAAATGGAAAGCTCGGCAGTGGTGGGTTATAGGGAAATATTTGACAAAAAATTTCAAAATGACGGTTCCGGCCGGCCAGTTCTGACTTTACTTGGAAAGCGCCTTGAGGCTTGTAAGGACTTTGCATCATTTGACCCGAAACTGATAAGGACGTCTTCAGAGGGAAGCCAAGCTGTCTCTAAGTCGCGGACGATGTTTAAAAATTATTCAACAGGCATTTTTCTCATTTAGCGGTCACTGGGAGAACTAAATAAAATAAATGTACAAAATACTAGTCTGGCGCTTTCCTTCGGCTTCAAACCTTGCCGATTTATTTCAGTTAAATATAAATGCGATTGAACTCTGATTTTGCACCCAATTTGATACTAAATCTTTCGCAGCCTCGTGCTCTAAAACAAGGCTTGCTGTAGGATAATTTATCCATTAAATTTACCCAAGGAATTAAAACACTAGATTGATTGAAATCGATATCTGGCTATTTTTCACGCTGCTTTAGTCCTAGAATAGGAAAGTTTGTGGTAACTTCTATAGCAAATATCTCATTCTTGCATAAAAAAGAAAACTTGGGGAAAAGAGTTGTTCGTTATCCCCCGAGCCCTTCACTTTACCGTCAGCATAACGCCAACAAACGTGAAAAGTGATAGCAGGGCGAGTTTCCAAAATTTTTGTGCGATTATCAGCATTCTAAAGCTACTCCTTAGTGCAAAGGAAAGGGCCTCGGAACGTATCACAGTGAATTTGAAGATAAGTTGCGAAGATCGCCGCCGGAAATTATGATGTACGAGTATCACGGTATCAAAGTATTTGCGATTTCTATCGATATTTCACAGCATCAGATAAGGCTGACTTTTCCCGCGTGGAAGGGCTGTTTTATACATTTCATTTTTTACCCTCACATAGGGCTTTGGCCTTCTTCAACACAACTCGCAAAGAAGCAAAGACATAGTTAAAAAATGACTAAGCAGTGAAAAAATACTTTTATCTTACAAGGATATTGTACTTACTGAGGAGAAAACATTTCACACGGTCATTCCAGTTTAAGGAAACAGACATTGGTGAAAATCACAATCAGAATGAAATAAATTCACAGCTAAAGTCAGTAAGAGAACTGTACAGTTTCATATTGCAAATGTTACATTCTTGAAAAAATTCATCAGGCTACTGAAGTTAATATCTATTTAAATTTTCTCAAAACATAGCCAAAGTCTTAAAGGCTTAATGATACTGACAGTTTCGATGACTGCCAGCCATCTTTATCAAAACTTGGAAATCGTCAAAGGTGTCAGAAGCCTTAAATAGGCTTCTGAAGGTGTTAATTATTGCGATAAACGCGCAAAGTCACTCTATCCGTGAAACAGGGAGACAGCTGGGAACCAGGATCACAGAGCACAGAAAGGAAGCAGAAAAGATCTCTGACAAAAATTTCACAAGATCCACCCGCACAGCTTCTACCAATGAACACCATAAATCAGCCATAACAGACCACGTCTGTCAGAAAATTCATATTATGAATTGGGAAGCAAGTGAAATAGTTGAGCAGGAAAGCGACAAGTTTAAGAGATGGAACAAGGAAAGCATATGTATTAGATCGAACACTCCTACTTTGAACAGGGACGAGGGAGCCTATCAGCTTTCTCCCATATGAACACAAGTGATCTCCACCCCCCAACCAGGGGGGAGGGCGTCTACAGAGTGACTTTGAGCGTTTATCGCAATAACTAACACCTTCAGAAGCCTATTTAAGACTTCTCACACCTTTGACGATTTCCAAGTTTTGATAAAGATGGCTGACAGTCATCGAAACTGTCAGCATCATTAAGACTTTAAGACTTTGGCTATGTTTTGAGAACATTTAAATAGATGCAAATGTTACAGTTCCGGATTGACAAACTTTTATTTCTACATTGTAAGCCATCATTTTCTATCCCTTCTAGATGGTTTGTCATTCCGTCCGGCCACTGCCAGGCTACCCACCAGCATTATATCAGGCGCTAACCGAAGTGGATCTTATTCTTTTGTCTAAGCTTAAGAGTAACAACAGAGGGCCGAGGTTGAGCAATAAAAAAAACGACTAGTATGCTACAAAAACATGATTCAGTCCAGAGTAAACACAAATTTAGAAATTTGTCCTTTTTCACAACTGGTGGGTCTTGAAACCGAATAAAAGTTAAATGTCACTCCAGACGTTTCTACAGTAGAGCATCCATTTGTTGCATACCAAGATGGGGGACCAGTAATGGTAGCTGAAATTAGATACCATCTGTTTGCTTTTATAGCAATAGACGGCACAAGTATAATATCAAAGCCATGGTGATCGCCAATTTCACAGTTTATCTGCTTAGATAAAAAAAATCCCTTCTTGCCTTCTCACAGTTTTGCCGCTGTTATCATCGAACACCTCGAGTGTTACTGAATATTCACCGTTGTCTCTTCCAAAAAGTTGTATTGCGTGTAGATGTATGTCCTTGTCAACTTCAAAATATATATAGTCTGGATAGTGTGAACCCCAACCCCTGCCTAGTGATCTAAACCTAGAAACTTCAAGTTTGTGCCCAGCTCTCTTGGCGTCAGGAAATCCCACTGGATCATAAAGCACAGAGTTAAAATACTTAACCAGACGGTTCGTCTCTTTGGGTGTAAGTATTTCAGAATCGAGGACGATATCAGCAAATTCTGTTTGCTCCATCACAGGAAAACGAATTCCTTGAACAACGCGTTCCCCAAGGACTCTTCTTTTCACGGAACCTTCAGCTACGAGACCTTGCTTTTCACATTCTTTTTCAGCCCAGCAATCGATAGCTTTGAATAATTCCACTTCTTTGATATTCAGCGAATTCTTCTCAACTAACTCCTCCAGTGCTGACCTTTCAACTGTAACGAAACCCTCTGATTTTACAGCTTCTTCTGTCTGTGTCTCAATCAATTTCCAGCAGTGATTCATCAAATCTTTCTCTTCGTATTTCTGCGCATCCGGCAAAATGTGAAACACGTTTAACGCATTTAAGTTCTCTTTAAGGAAAGCAGAACACTTCTCAGCCAAAGTAGGCAGCATATATTTCTTTGATAAATAAAGCAACTGCATGACATTATCAGCGTTCAGCTTCGCCTCGTCGCTGTAGATAAAACGAAACAACTCAAGAAGGCTTTCATACTCACAATCGAAAATCTCAACTGGATCTTTTATCGCTGCCACTTTGCCGAAAAACATGGCAAAAAACACTGGGCTACTGATCGCTAACATGAACTTGTGAGCTGGAATCGTCTTACTTTCGCCTTGAGAGTCACAAACCACGAATTTCACATCGCTAAGGAGTTCTTGATTAAAAATGGCCTCACATCGTTCTCTGATGGTACTTCTGGTTGTTTGCCAGTAAGTGTCCGACACTGCATCGATAGACATGGCTAATTCAGTCACAGATCCAAGTTTCGTTGGTTTCTTTACAAGTATCGAAATGATAACTTTCGATTTCCTAGCATTTGAGTCACGCAGGTCACGAGATCTTTTTAGTTCCCAGTGCTCTCGGTCTCAACTGACGGACAAACCTCATACAGGTGAGACCCTTCACTCATCACCTCGACTGTAACTCTAAAAACGTCATTTACATGATACAATGCAACCACTTCTTTAAGCAATACATCGGTGAAACCAAACCACAACTTTTGTCCTTAAAAGGACCGTTTCGACGAACACTGCAGACCAGTTGACAACCCATCTAATATGTCTAATATCACCAAACCCATCACAGGAACTAATGATCACTCCGCTAATGACATCACACTTATTCCACTAGAACGCATTAAATCTAATAGAGACAGTGCGCGAAAAGCTAGAGAAGCATACTTCATTGAGAGAGGCAAAACTCTTGAACCCTTTGGTATCGATAAGAAAGATGAAATGTAATACATTCCTTATTTCTTCCATTTGCAATTATTTATTTATGCTATTTTTACATTTCAAATTTCTTTTATATCACTACTTCAATGGTTTTTGTTTTCATATACAGTCAATTCTCTCATAGCGACCACTTCTCGTAAGCGTCCACCTCTCGTAAGCGACTACTTCACAAATAATCCTTTTGTTTCTCAGTCAAACACTGTTTCAAAAACTCTCTCGTAAGCGACCACTACCTACATTTCCAAAGCGACCGCAACCACTTTTTGGGCCAGAAATTTGATATATTCTTTTGTTTTGTGTTTCCGGTAAGCGACCACCCGGCATGATCACGTATGATTGTAAGAAAACCCTTGCTCTAAAGTGACAAAAGTTAATTTTTGAATAGTGCTGACCAAGTTTGATGACAGATTATAGCAGCTGACTTACAAAAAACATGTATGTAATACGATCTGTGGGTAAAAAAGTGGATTGTCACATTCATGAATATGTACATAGTTTCATCAGTTCCAAGCGCTGTTCGAGTTAAACATTATTAGAAGTTCTATATTTGCCTCATTTTTGCTTGTAAGATAATAACTTTACGTAATTACGTTAATCAGTTCAATGTGAGTTCTTTTTTTTATTTTTCCCGGCAGACGACCACCTCCCGTAAGCGACCACTTTGTCGTGCACCAAGGGTGGTCGCTTACGAGAGAGTTGACTGTACTTTTAACGTTAGATTTTTTCTTATTTAATTTTTCACTTGTTATTATAGTATCATATTGTCTTAGCATAACCTTATCATTGTCTGTAAGACCCTGATGAAGGAAGGCCGTGTCTTTCGAAATATTGGTAACAAATAATATACATGTATATTCCCGACTGTAAAATCAGCCCTGCTTCTTTTGTTCAATATTTCAATTTGTAGCTGATTAGATCCTTTATAAAGATCCGGTCCTTCTTTTTGTAACGTTGGTCCTTGCTTCCAAAATTGAAGTTGTTCAATGCCTTTAGCCGCGGTTTGGTGTGCATGTAATCCTGGGGAATTTTCAAAGCTTTTGTTGTCATATTCAAGATCTAGCAAATGGTATGAAAAAAACTACCAGTTAAAGTGCATATCACCTCAAATTTGTTAAAGACTACAATGAAAATAAAAACTTGTAAAAAACAATGCCGCAGATTGTTTTCGATTTTAGATTAATCTCATTTTTTTGCAGAGTTTTAGATATGTAAAAATTAACATCTCAGGCCATGACATATTGGGCCTGGGGCGAGTGACGAATTTTGATGTATTGTTCTCCTTAATATTCTCACTGCATATGTAATGAGCACGTCTCGCAAGCATGTCTGCATTCTTCTGATCCCAAGAGTTCTTAGCAATTGCGGTCAATTGACCTTTTGCGGCCTTCTAACTTAAATTTGAACGTCGCAGTGTGAAATCTCGCAGTTTGACGCTTTTCGCCCCTCCCACCTCCCCTGGTGGTAGTGACACATCACCAAGCTTTGCTGCATAGCTTTGTCACTAGCCTGCGTGGCAGGCGCAAAAAGGGGAGGGGGAGGGGGGAGGGAGAAAGGGAAAAGGGAAGGGAGCGCCTGCTCTAAGAGCCTATGTTTTTGCGTAACGCCTACCAATTTTCCAGTAATCCGATTACGCTTACTGTCAATCAAGTGTCGCTACACTCGCCATTGCAGAAAAACATTACACTCACGGACTAAAGAAATTCGCTTAGTTATTCAGATCCAGAAGGCAATTTGGAGAAAACTGGAACCCTT